CTGTTTCCATAGAGTTCACTAATCTTTTTTTATGTTGAATCTAATTTACTCTTAAGCTCATCCAATGGATTTTTCATTTCTAAAATTTGGATGTGTATCTATGTTATATCTTATCTCTCTTTAGCATTCTTATTTTCTTGAACATATGCAATATAGGTTATATTTGTTTTAATCCCTGTGTCTACTGATTCAATCATGTGTTTGATTTCTCAGTTGAGATTGCTTATTCTACTCATGGCTTCTTGTTTCTTGGCATGTCTGGTAATTTTTACTAGATTCTAGATAGTGTGAGTTTTATTTTCTTGTATGCTGGACATTAATGGTACTTTTACAAATATTTTTTAGTTTTGTTCTCAGATATAGTTCCTTACAAATAGCTTGGGTTTGCTAAGGATTCCCATTTATGATTTTTTTTTTCGGCGTGACCAAAGCAGCCTTCAGCCTAGGACTAACTTTTCCCATTTGAATTTTCTAGACCATACCCTTACAAGTACTCTACATGATGCCCCATGTGTTACAAGATTGTTTTAACTCTGTGTATTGGGAGCACTAACTGTTCCTCACCTTGTGTGGGTCAGGGACTATTTCACCTGTTCCGTTCAGATAGTTATTTCCCAGGCTACAGGAAGGTTTGTCACATATGCATGCTGATTGGTGCTCAGCTAAACAATACGAAGATCACAAGATCTCTTTCTCTTTGGTGCTCTCTCTTTCTCTTTCTCCCTCCCTCCTTCCCTCCCTCCCTCCCTCCCCTCACTCTAGATTCTGTAGCTGTGTTGATTTTTTCTAAAACTGTACCTTTCTCTCCTCATCTTAGACTGGTGGACCCTTCCAGTGCTCCCCTTTTCTATACCTTGGCGTGGATGCTTATTCAGTGTAGTCTGGTTCTCAGCAGGATACTCTGGGCTCTTGAGATATGTCATGTAAGCCAGTAAAGCTATACATCTCTCAAGAAGGGGATGCTTAGTGAGAAGAGGAAAGTTCTAAGATAGATTCTTAAGGAATATGAAAGTGAAGTGATAATTATAAAGATTTCCAGAGAAAAGCTCTTAAGCAACTTGCCGTACAGATTTCTTTCATTTGATTTCAGAGTATCTGTTATCCTGAAGCTTGATAGATCATGAGATGAGATTACTCTGATTTACTGGGTGGACTGTTTAGAACTCAAGAGAGCATCATATCCAGAATCATAGGAAAATCCCACGGGCCCTGGAATGCCACATATCTGCAGCACATGGACAACTATTCAACCTTAATTTCTACACTAATGTACCATGATGGGGATTTGTTAACTAAAACTAACAATAAGAAAAAAATAAACATAGTTGAGATTAAGCAGAAAATAAAGAAACAAAAAAGAAAATCATAAAGAGAAATACTTGAATCTATAAAATATATCTAGAGATCTTTTGGGATTTAGAGTCCTGAATTAAATACCCAAACTGTTTCCAACTGGTTGGATCACCTTGGACTGCTCAGGAATCAAATATCTTTGAGGCTTAGTGTATATGTCTCTCCTACAGAGAATAATTGTACCAGGACTTCTGGCTTTGTAGAGATTATGAGCTGTACTCAGGAAACAGGTCATGGGCCAGGGATTTAGCTCAGTGGCACTGTGCCTACCTTGCAAGTGCAAGGTCCTGAGTTCGATCTCTGGTACAATAAACAACAAAAACACGTTGTGTGTTTAAGACTGCTGTGGTTTTGTTTTTTTAAAAAAAATTGCCATTTCGTTTAAAAGAACTTCTAAAAAAATGAAAAAGAATATGAATAATTTTAAGTTTTGGTCTTTTTTTGCACATTTACATTTTACCTTTAGGTACGTGGTGTAAACTCACAAGAGTTTGTTAAATGGTATAAAACCCCAGATTAAAATATATAGTACTTCTGATTTTCAAGTTTAATATTCTTTCTCTAGTCAGGAATAATATGTCCTACATCTTATTTGAAGTAAAATGTATTTGGTAAAGAAATGACATTACAGACATTTTAAATGTTAGAATAATTTCATTTATTTCTTCATGAAGAAAGCAATTCTTTTCAGTTTCTTTGTAAACACAGTTAAAAGTAAAGAGTCACTGATGCTAGATATTGTCAGTACAGATTTTATTTTCTTAATGTGTTGAGCTCACCAATGAATTTTGAATTTTAGTTATGTTTATTGGTTCTCCTTAAAGTCTTACTTTCCTTGATGCAATTCAATAAAAACAGAAACGTGATTGAAATTGATCTCTGGAATGATCTGTTAAGGACTTGAAAATGAGTAAGTCTCCTGGTAACCTGAAGTTTAGTCTTATTAGGCTCTTATAGTATCATTTGAATAGAATCTTTCACTGTAGGCAAGTTAGAAATTAAATGAGACCAAGAAATTAATGATATGACTTTATATTGATAGAGTACATTGTTCCATGAAGTCATTTTAAAAATGAAACCAGAGTCTGAATTTCTCATCTTTGCCAAATTAAAATGAAAATAGTAACTTAGCTGTTTTTAATAAAGTGTAATAATATAGAAATAAATTATTAGATGTTAATGGAAAATTGTAAAGGTTGCAGCATCGAAGTACTTACAACAGCACAGAATTATCTAGTATTCTCTTTTACTATTTACCGTAACATTCAGAATAAAAGGGAGCTGGGGATTTAGCTCAGTGGTTCCGCGACCTGCCTGGCAAATGCGAGGACCCAAGTTCGATCCCCAGTACCAAAACAAAACAGAATAAAGGGAAACAAGTCAATATTGCTGAAGCTTAAGCATAGTATGAACTTCACTAGGACCATTCACTGAGTACCTGCCGTGTACCCGCCATCACATATTTAAACTGCTGACTTCAGGATTCTTTTTGAGATAATGCTGAATTATATTGTCCTGGATTAGAGTCTCTTTTGGACATGAGTAATATAAATATCATTACATTACTTTATACCTCCCCCAAAAGCTTTTATTTTTGTTTCTGTTCATAGTTTCTAGGGAAAATAGATAAAATGAAAAAAAAGTTTAATAATGTTTTTTGTTAGAAAATGAGTACCTTTTTGCTTTAGATTTCTAAAGGAGTCAATAATGTGTTCCTGTAGTGAAAAGCTATGCAACAACTCAAAATATGCTTTAAAAGAACATTTAATGACTTAAAACATAATCAAGAGCCAAAAGCAGAGTATAAAACCTTGTATAAAACTTGATATAATCTTACCACATTGTTCGAGGGCAGATGTAATGCGGGAAAGAGTTAATATAAAAATTAATATCAGTTAGGTCTCAGTAAGATTGTGAGTTGTTCTACTTTTTTATATTATATATTTTTAAAGAGTTAGCATTTTCTGATTATTCAAATAATAAATGTTATTAAAAATTTTAAAGGCTAGGGGGAAACTCATAATGAAATACATACATATTTAAAATTATTTTTAAACCATCACAAAGAAGATCAATTACAAGATTTATATTTAAATTACTGCATTTATTTTCATCCCTTTAATGCTTGAAATGAGCTAGCAAAGGCAGGTGGGTTCCAAGGATGAACATGTATTAAGCAGAATTTATTAGAGATCATATACAGTACTCCCCCTTATCCACAGCTGCACTTTCGGCAGTTTCCCTTATCTGCAGTTAACTGTGGTCAGAAAGTATCAAATGGAAAATTCCAATTTTAAATTGCACGCCCTTCTAGGTACTGTGATGAGTATCACACACATCTTGCTTCATCACTCCAAGGACATGAATCATCCCTTTGTCCAGTGGATCCGTACTGTATACACTACCTGCCCTTTGGTCACTGAGTAGCCTTCTCAGTTATCACATCACCTGTTAAGGTATTGCACTGCTCCTGTTCTATTAACACTAATTTTACTTTAAAATGGCTCCAAACTTCAAGAGTAGTGATGCTGGAAATTTTATTACAGTTCTTATTTTTCTCTAAATTTTTATATTGTCATTAGATATTGGTGTAATCTTTTATTGTGTCTAATTTATAATTTAAGCTTCATCATAGGTATGTACAGTATGGGAAGAAACATAGTATATACGGGGCTTGTTACTATCCATGATGTACCCTTCAGGGATGGACAGGGAGGTGAGGAGGCCCTGAACCTCAGTGTAACCTCAGATATAAACATCTCATGGGAACTTGTTGCAGTGCACAACCTTGGGTCCCACCCTAGAACAAGTGAATCAGAAACTCTGGAACTGGATCCCAGCAATGCGTATTTTAAGAAGGCCTCCAGATGCATGCTGAGGAGATACTACTTTAGGATTCTAAGTATTAAAACAAAGCTAGAACAATTTCTCAAAAATTTTGTCCTAGAAATTTTCCATCTAGTATTCCCTCTCTTTCTATTTCATTTCTTTCAGTCCTGTTTCTCACTCTCTCTCTGCTTCTCTGTCACACATGATGACGGTTTTGTTCTTTCTTGAGGCAGCTTATAAGGTGCACAAAATACAATATACTAGCAGAAACAGCCATGAAGTCCAGTTAGTGTTTTAAGTATTTTACCTACAGTATCTCATTCACTGGGAAGCAGTTATTACTGTTATCCCCACTTTGCAGGCAGGGAACCAGAAGCACAAAGGTAATGAACTTGTCCATAGGCATGGAATCAGTAAGTGGCAGAATCCAAGCACTTTGATTGCAGAGGTCAGAGCCCTCCACCATTTCACCGTGTTGCTTCTTAAAAACAAAACGAGTGAGGAATAAAGGGTGCATGAAAAATCAAGGGGCAAGACAAATGTACAGTCCATTCTGTAGTTTTACGTCGTTGCTAAATATGGCCCATGATTTTGCCTCTGCCCCCAGGAAAGAGTGAAAAAGAATAACTCCAAAATTTACCTTCATAATAATATGGAAACACATCAATTTTCAAGAAAGGCACAGTTGAGTCTTGAAAAGAACATTTTGTATGACCACATTCTCAGACAAAAACATTGTAATTTCCATTTCATTCATTTTTAATTGATAATACTATAATTATTTCTTGAGCACCTTCTATTTGTTAGGCATTGTGCTGGTTGCTTAGGGATAAAAAGAGCAAAACATAATTGATGCCCTTAAAGATAATCAGAGTCTCGGATGAAAGAACAATGATGCGTCTTCCTTTGACCTTCACCTTCTTCATCTTTGAGTGTGGAATAAAAGAAATACATAGTGACAGGCAGGAATGGAACAAGGCCATAGCAGGAAATCAGACCTGAGGGAGGATTGGAAAGCACAGAATGAGAGCACTCACCAGGGATGATGATGCCTGGGCACAGAAATGCTGATTCTTTTGGTTAACATTTTGTGTGTGTGTGTGTGTGTGTATAACCTGTAGTTTGAAGCTGCTTCTTGGAAGAACTGGACTCTGAGCATGGGAGGCTGCTTGGAGTCTTCAGAGATTCCATGACTGTAGCAAGAAAGGGCAGGAGGTCGTAGGAGAAGGCAAAATCAACAAATTCTGAAAGCATATGTGCATGTGCATGTGTGTGTGTGTGCACTCACGCATATATTTATCCCATCACCAAGGTGGTATCCCTGGCCACCTGGTCAAAGATCACACTTTCTCCTCTGTAAATAACCTGTAGTTTCACATCGATTTTTAAAAATTACTTTCTCTTTTCCCCATTCTCATTTATCTAATAAAGAATAACTTAATTCTTTTGGGCTGCTACAGCAAAATACCGTAAAGTAAATGGCTTTTTGACAAGAGAAATTTATTTCTCACAGTCTGGAGGCTGCAAAGTTTGAGATCGGAGCACTCGCTCACAGGTTAGGTGTGTGGTGAGGGCTCAGTTCCTAGTTCACAGACGGCGCCTTCAGCTCCATCCTCACATGGTAGAAGGGAAACAGGAGCTCTCTAAGGCCTCTTGTAGTAAAGACCACCAGTCCTATTAATAAGGACTCTGCCTTATCGCCTAATCATCTTCTAAAAGACACCACCTCCTAATTTCATCACCTAAAGGGTTAAGGTTTTAACATCAGATTGAGAGTTGGGTGCACGAAAGGTTCAGACCACAGCAGAGAGAAAGCAGACAAAACTCTTTGTCCCAGTGGTCACAGCTCCTACCAGTTAACATGGCCTTATCTTCTGCCAACTTCAGCCGTGGGCCCCTGGAAACAAGGGTGTCTCCAGTTATAACATTTGGGCCAGAAGATAAGGACATGAGTGGTTTTAACCATCTGGGCTTTGGCTTGATTTTCTAAGTGAAAATCAAGAGTATGAATGTTGTTCATGCTTCTGCTCAATATTTTGAAATAAACCATGTCAGTTACATTATGTCCTGATGCTAGCATCTGTATTTCATTTTGAATTCGAAACAATAGATCTTATGGCAATGTTTTTCTGGACTACTTTTGATCAAAAAGAGGAAGAGAAAGTGGTTCAGAAGTCTGAATATCACACTTGAATTATTTAACAGAGTCAAACCAGTCCGTGGGGTTTGAAGTCTGTGTTGAGGAACATGCCAAAGGTCCTGGGTAATTTCACCCACAGCACTGCCCTTCTCTAGAAGTGATAAAAGTAATGATGCCCCAAAAGTACTCCCTGGGATTTGCAAAAACTGTCTGCTGTTCAGTTTGCTTAGTGACAGTGCCCAACTTACATGTGTCCCCTTCTTTCTCTTCAGTCCCAGCAGAAGTGCATCGTGATCTTCGCCCTGGTCTGCTGCTTTGCTATTCTCGTCGCATTGATATTTTCAGCTGTGGACATCATGGGAGAGGATGAGGATGGACTCTCAGAAAAAAATTGTCAAAATAAATGTCGGTAAGAGGTAACAAACAAAAATTATCTTTTAGGGGGTGGGCAAGAAAGGCAAGGAGGGCCCTGGACGTTGAAGAGAAATACACCATAAACAGTGATCATCCGACTTTCCTTGGCATGATTCTGCCCATGGCTCCTCTTGCTTTTGGACCATGGTGGTGAACATGAGCAATGATTTAATTTGGCTTACCATTGCTCCATGTTCTTCACAGAGGGGTGACAACTTTTAACAGTCTGCATTTCTGGAGTCCTCTGTGCATAAAGTTTTGGGTTGTTCCCAATGAGCCAGGCAAAAGCAAGTGCCCTGTGGACAAAGGACATTGTGCTAATTGTTATGTCACATGGACATTAGCACAGACACCTCAGGAAAATTTCCAACTTCAAGTTAAAGATTAAATAAGTCTATGAGGAGACAGAGGCCGTCCTCATTCAGCCCCAGCTTAGCATACAGTTTCTTTTTAATCTAGAAATTATGACAACTTTATCATCATGTGTAGACATGGGCCACATAATGATATTTTGGTCACCAGTGGACCAAATTTATGACAGTGGTCCAATGAGATTATGTTGCCTAGTGACGTGACAGCATAGCCATGTAAGTCCTGTGATGTCACACAGTGACTAAATCCACTAAGGATGCATTTATCATAACAGGTCCCCATCGTGACTGTACTCTGCATTTCAGTTAGATTAGATGGCATTTCCCTGGGTCATTCCTGACTGGCAGAGACATCATGCATGGTTTCAAACCCATGAATCTCTTCATCCAGTGCTTCCCTGAGCTGCTGCTTTTTTTTTTTTTCAGTTGGGGGAAGATGTAGAAAAGTATAAGAGGGGTAGGTAAAGTGGTCTATTTTTAAATATTATCGCTGCAAAGCTGAAATGAGGCCACAAAATTATGACAGTAATTATGAATTAGAGCATATGATGTATTTAAATTGTAGTTTTTCCCATGGAAAGCATTAGTCTAAATGCCCATCTTTTCTAGCTTAAAATCAACTGCAACCTGGTAATGTGTACAGGAGATTTTATTCTGGATATGTTGCCTTGAGGTTGAAGGTTCCAGCGCAGGAAATGCCCTAAGATACATGACTTTTTCTTTCACCCATTATTCATTATAATCCAGTTACCAGGAAACAAGTGCAGTATTCAGAGCCCAGCATATAAGAAATAAATCAGCATACATTTTGAATTTTATTCCTTTGTGTTGGAAAGGTGTTTCATAAGCATATTTACTTCTCAGACTGAATCTTGAAGAAAAATTATACTGGGATTGTTGTAAGAACAACAGTAGAACAATAGCGTTGCTGTCATCTTCTGCTATTGCTATTTGTTACAACGTCAAGGTGGACAGGAAGCCAGTGACTCATATTTATTGAGTGGAATCTCTGCCTCACTCTTTCACCCCACCTTATAATGAAGACTGCTGGGTACTATAAATGCAAATACCAGCACCTACAGAGCAATTTTATAGAGGGCAAACCATAACAACTTCTTAAGATAAAACATTTATGACTTTTCGATCCCCATTACCAGATACTCCCAGGTTTCAGCAAAAGAAAAAAAGAGTGCCTTCTTTGAGTGCTAACTCTTTTCACATAGGGAAAGCTATTATTTACTCAGATTTTTAGTTTTTACTCAAGTGAGTGGAAATTTGGTCTGGTGATTTCTTCTATCTTAATCAAGAACTGAATTCTGATGACTCAACACTGCTTCTTCCTCCATCCAAAAAATATTCTAATTCTCACCAGTCTTTTGCTTCCTTTTCCATGGGTGGCTGGAATTACTACCTAGTTATTAGTTATTAGATCCTGGATGCAGACATTTTTTTCCAGAACTTTCCAGCCCCCTCTAGATCTTTCTCTATTCTGTGGCCTCTTTCCTGAGCCCCATGTTTCTGTTCTGCATGCTCAGCCATTTTACTCAGTGTTCTTTGTCTGTCTGTCCTGGAACAGGCATCTGACTTCTTCCTATCTCCCTGGGAGCCTTCTCTTTTTCTTCCTTTTTCCAATGTGCAGCATGAGGAGGTAGAGTATCTGAGGTGCCTTATATCACAATCTATTTCTGTACCATTATTCTATTCTCATTTTAATTTAATGACTGTTCTTATAGCATTCATCCCCCCGCTTTATCATCCTAGGCAACATCATCTACTTTCCAGGATTCTCTCTCAACTTTTTTTGTGCTTTACTAACAGACCTCCTGGTCATTAGCCTCATCCATTGCCAACATCTTTAGTAACTTGAAAATGTGCTACCCAGCTCCCCAGCCTTACCATGTTTTCAGTGCCCCAAATCAATGAATTTAATGTCCACATCACCTTTGCACCTACCTGGCAGCACACAGCTCCTCCTCCAGGTTTGCCTGTTGTGGTGAAGAACTATGGTCTTTGATACCAGAAAGATCTAAGTTCAGACCTCCTTTCCTCACACATTCTAAATTTGTAAATTTGGAAAGGACATTAATTGAATTATTTCATCAGCTACCAGCAGAGAACCAAGAGATTGAACGAGGAGTCACAGTACCATTAAGGAGATGGCTGTGACAATGTACCAGGGTCAGAACTACAGTGGGGGATGTTAGGGGGCACTGGGAGAGTAACTTGACATGATAAAAATAAATAAATCTGTCCTTGGATTCTGCTCCACCTTAGACAGATTACAAAGGCTACTTTAGTTTCATTTCCATTAAAAATGATGGATTAAAAAATCTATCTCACAAGATTTATGAGGATTCAGCAAGTTATGTAAATCCATAGCAAAGCATCAGGAAACAACAGATAATGGATCCCTCTTCTGTATTCATGGCTAACTTTGCACTTCCTCACTGGTACTGAGTCTACTCTTTATCCTGATTTGAGTCTTTGCTTTTGTGGAAATAGATGAAGGCCAACCACGTGGAACAGAGGGCATTTATTCAGAGACGCCTGTAGCAAGGGAGTCAACCACCATGGGTTGTGTTTTGCAGAGACTCAAAGGCAGGCAGAACAATGGCAGCGCTGCCTCACCATGGGAGAATGGGAGGCTCCAGGAATGATCTGACTGAGGCTGTTTATAGGGAAGTTGGAAGTGGCAAGCTAGAAGTGTGTGCTGTGTGATTGGTTAGGGAAGCATATCTGGCTTTCTCTAGTTGGTTCTCAGTTGAAAGAGGAGGTAAAAATTAGGGAAGCCAGCAGTTATTTATCAAGTCCCATCCATCTGGGACCAATTGTGATAGCAGTTATTATTTAGCTCCCTGGGTTGTTATGAGAGATAGCAGTCTGATTTCCTTCAAGTCTGACAAAGCAGGCTAGCTTCCTGGGCTGGTGACTAGAGCTAAGGAGTTGGTTTCCTGGGCAGGTTGCTCCAAGCTATGAGTCATAAGTCTACTTTGTATGTGTGATCTCACCATTGTCCATTTTTATATTCATTCTTCCATTCTCAAACCTCTTCCTGTGTTATCAGTCCCTTCTGCCTTAATTTTCTTTATCCATTTGCGAGAACATGACTGCCATGTCTCACTGCCTCCCACAGCACCACGTCAGACTTGAGCCCTTGGATCTCTTATCTCAAGCATGCTGCCTTGTGTTAAACTGGTTCCACCCATCCTTGTCCTCAAAGCACCCTTGGCCATTGCCTTACACCTTCAACAGCCTGCAGAGGAGAGTAAGATCCACTGTTCTTCACTCGAGGTTCTGCAGGCCAGGTGCCCCTGGTGAAAAAGATGAGGCTTTTCAGAGATGTGGTATACTCTTGGGGTATACTGGTGCTGATGTAGACCAGCAGGAGACAACCCTTCTGGCTTACAGATATTCTCCAGCCTGTCTGTCTCAACTTCACCCTTCTGTACAAAATTCCAGGCTACCCTTCATGACTTCATCCTTCCCCTGTCTCCAACCTCCCAGCATCCTTCCCCAACTGTATCTCAAGATGGCACCCACTAGACCAGCATCCTTCCCAAACTGTGTCTCAAGATGGTGCCCACTAGACCAGCCTCCTTCCCAAACTGTATCTCAAGATGGCGCCCACTAGACCAGACTCCTTCCCAAACTGTGTCTCAAGATGGCGCCCACTAGACCAGCATCCTTCCCAAACTGTATCTCAAAATGGTGCCCACTAGACCAGAATCCTTTCCAAACTGTCTCAAGATGGCGCCCACTAGACCAGCATCCTTCCCCAACTGTGTCTTAAAATGGTGTCTACTAGACCATGGGATGCCCAGCTCCCAGTGACTCCATTTCACTTGAGTTTCCTCGTTGAGCTTTTCTCCTCCAGGTGTCCATATCATAAAAAGTGCTACATGCTCAGCTCAACCTTTGCTGAGATCTTATTACTTGGTAGTTTAGCTCCCTCTGTGTTTGCAGCTTTCTTCACTCCTGGAAGTTGAAAAGATCCCAGCCATTCTGGAGCCTGTCAGTCTTCTCACTGTTATGACAGTCTCTTCCCTGGCCTGTGCACTCTTTTCTAAATGTATTACTTTAATTCATCTTATTTTATCTCTACTAACTAACCTTTCTATCATCTGATAGATTTGTACACTGAATCATACCACCCACTCAATGTTTCCCCCTCTTATATGTCTTGCTAAATGATGTTTTCTCCCTATAAAAAATTCTAAAGTTTTTTTCTTTCCCTCGTATTATTTTGTTGCTATATTACTGTACTAAAAGTAGATAATGATACCCTCATTTATCATAATTTTCCACCCAAATCTATAAAATGCCAACTACCTCAAAGTTAACTTCCAAGTGCTTTTTTTTTTTGAGATAGGCCTTACTGTGTTGCTCAGGCTGGCTCCAAACTCCTGGGCTCAACTGATTTGGCCAATCCTTCTGCTTCAGCCTCACAAATAGCTAAAATGATGGGCACACATCACTGTGCCAGGCTTCCAAATATCTTTTAACCAACCTCAACTGCTAGGCCCACAAATAAGATTTTTGACCTCACTAAATGACTCTGACCTATTTCTTGACTCTGAGTCAGATTTCTGGGCACTTCCACCATTTATTAATGTGTTGATTCGGCCCCTATTACTTTAAAACCTGCTTGTTCCTTGACTACCTGAGACAGTGAAAAGCAAATGTTCTAGGAAAGTACTCATCATCAGTGGGCTCGGCATCACTGGCTAAGCACAGAACACTTATACTGCTAATGCAGAGTGCGTACATCTCATGACTTGGCCACTTCTTGTTTCACTGGTACCCTTAACTCTCACTGCACTCCATTTTTGCAAGAGATGACTTCCTGCTGTGAGTCTGCCCAGGGACAAGCAGAGGCATTGGAACCATCCTCCAGGGTTGCTCCTGTGCAGGTGCCCTGCCATCACATGGGACCCAACCTTTCAGAGGAGAGCCTCCATTTTGTGTGTGTGGCTGTGTGTGCCTCACACCCTGGAGCCACCCGAAGTCAGTTATGTCCGGTTACTGCTCCCTCACTTGCCAGAGACACCATTAGATGCTGCTGGCAGAGAGCTTTCATCCACACCTTTCTGCTAAGTGCACACAGAACCAGCCAGCATCC